GCCTCAGCCTCCTGAGTAGCTGGGATTACAGGCACACGCCACCATGCCCAGCTAATGTTTTGTATTTTTAGTAGAGACGGGGTTTCACCATGTTGACCAGGATGGTCTCGATCTCTTGACCTCGTGATCCACCCGCCTCGGTCTCCCAAAGTGCTGGGATTACAGGCTTGAGCCACCGTGCCCAGCCAATGGTCAAACTTTTAATATGTCAATTTATTTATTTTTTTTTTTTCAAGGATCCTAAGCACTTCAAGTCAGAGAAGACAGGACGGGGACAGTTGAGGGAAGGCTGGAGAGATAGCCATCAGCCCATCATGTGCTCCTACAAGCTGGTGACTGTGAAGTTTGAGGTCTGGGGGCTTCAGACCAGAGTGGAACAATTTGTACACAAGGTAAGAGGTCCAACAGCAGTTCCTGGGCTATGGACAAGGTAATTGTCTATATTGCCAAGTTGGAGTGCATGATACACACGAGATACACAAGTACTACTACAACATGTGGTCACTGCATCTCAAAAACACCGTTTGAGCCAGTTGCAGTGGCTCATGCCTGTAATCCCAGCACTTTGGGAGGCCAAGGCAGGTGGATAACTTGAGGCTGAGAGTTCAAGACCAGCCTGGCAAATGTGGTGAAACCCCATCTCTACTAAAAATACAAAACATTAGCTGGGCATGGTGGTGGGTGCCTGTAACCCAGCTACTCAGGAGGCTAAGGCAGGAAAATTGCTTGAACCTGGGAGGCAGAGGTTGCAGTGAGCCAAGATCACGCCATTTTACTATAGTCTGGGCCAGGCGTCCCCAAACTTCTTACACAGGGGGCCAGTTCACTGTCCCTCAGACCGTTGGAGGGCCGCCACATACTGTGCTCCTCTCAATGACCACCAGTGAAAGAGGTGCCCCTTCCTGAAGTGCGGCGGGGGGCCGGATAAATGGCCTCAGGGGGCCGCATGCGGCCCGCGGGCCATAGTTTGGGGACGCCTGGTCTGGGCGATAAGAGAGAAATTCTGTCTCAAAAATATAAAAAAGGGCTTACCTGTGAACACAGCCCCTAAAGTTAATTGCCACTCAAAAGATCTGCAAATGTAGACACCTAAAGCAGAAGATGCCCCAGAGACAGAACAAGAAATCCCAATAGTCCCAATGGACAGTATACCTCAGCATTTCTGCTTCCTTAATAACTCTGTTACCAAAGTGGCCAGGCGCGGTGGCTCACGCCTATAATCCCAGCCCTCTGGAAGTTTGAGGTGGGTGGATCACTTAGGTCAGGAGTTCAAGGCCAGCCTGGCCAACATGGTGAAACCCTGTCTCTATTAAAAATATAAAAAAATTAACCAGGCATGATGGCACATGCCTGTAATCCCAGCTACTCAGGAGGCTGAGGCAGGAGAATTGCTTGAACCTGGGAGGTGAAGGTTGTAGTGAGCTGTGATTGTGTTACTGCACTCCAGCCTGGGTGACAGAGCAAGACTACATCTCAAAAATAATAATAATACACGCCTGTAATCCCAGCACTTCGGGAGGCTGAGCAGGCAGATCACGAGGTCAAGAGATTGAGACCATCCCGGCCAACATGGTGAAACCCCATCTCTACCTAAAATACACAAATAAGCTGGTTGTGGTGGCATTCGTCTGTAGTCCCAGCTACTCGGGAGGCCGAGGCAGGAGAATTGCTTGAACCCGGGAAGCGGAGGTTGCAGTGAGCCAAGATCGTGCCACTGCACTCCAGCCTGGCGCCTGGTGACGGAGCAAGACTCTGTCTCAAATAATAATAATAAGGTTACCAAAGAATTGTTAACAGCCTCAGGATGTAGATTTCAATTGTATACCCACTATGGCTAAACATGCTAATTTTGTAGCAGAAACCCACTTTGTGATGATTTCTGTTTTCTCAGGGTTTCTAACATGACTCTGTCCCTCATGGGAGAAAAAAATGGGAACTGCAGTGTTGAGCATTGCCCTTTGTAGCTGCTCTCATTTTCAAAAGAATAAATACTACGCAAATTGTCTCTGCATTCCAGATAGGCTGGTTATCTGTTTATTTTTCCACTCTAAAACTGATAAAGAGTAGCCTTCCAAAATTATTTTGGAGTCACTGGAATTTAACCTTCATGCACTGAGCTTTTCATTACTTAGAGGGATTTGTGTATTGAGATTGGGGGCCAATTGACAATAAAAAGTTTAATTCTGGAATTTAGATCCAAGAACTGAATTACCAGTCTCCTGAACCCTCATAACTCAGGCTCACAGCAGTGGCAGACTCTGGCACAAACTTGAGAGCCTGGGTGTCTTCATCAACAGAGAAGTATGCTGCTCCCCTCCTGTGCTCCAGAACCCATTCGGACAGCCAGGAGCCAGAATGAAATGTGATACCTAGAAATCAAGCTGCAGGAATCTCCTGTTTTCCTTCTGGGTCCTGATGATTGCCCAGGAAGTCAGTTGCAGCTCCCAAAGTAAATGTTTTCCAGCCTCAGCTCTGTGTCTATCTAAGGCAGGATCTTCCTTGGTTTCCCACAGCATCCCTTTTTGTGTGTGGCTTTTTAGGGTAAAAAGACCTCCTCCTACTAGGGCCACTATCATAGTGCTTTTTTGGTTTTGGTTTGGTTTTTTCAGATGGAGTCTCAATCTGTCGCCAAGGCTGGAGTGCCCTGATGCGATCTCACCTCGTTGTAACCTCTGCCTCCCAGGTTCAAGCAGTTTTTGTGCCTCAACCTCCTGAGTAGCCAAGGCACAGGTGTGTACCACCACACCTGGCTAATTTTTGTGTTAATAGTAGAGACGGGGTTTCACCATGTTAGCCAGACTGGTCTCCAACTCCTGACCTCAGGTGATCCGCCCACCTTGGCCTCTCAAAGTGCTGGTATTACAGGCATGAGCTACCATGCCTGGCCTCATAGTGTGCTTTATTTCCACTCACAAAGCATATTTATCAAAGCCAGAGGTGTCAGTTAAAAAGAGAATCATATTAAAGAAAAATAAGGCTGGGTGCGGTTCACACCTGTAATCCCAGCACTTTGGAAAGCTGAAGCAGGCAGATCACTTGAGGTCAGGAGTTCAAGATCAGCCTGGCCAACATGGTGAAACTCCGTCTCCACTAAAAATACAAAAATTAGTCGGGCATGGTGGTGGGCACCTATAGTCCCAGCTACTTGGGAGGCTGAAGCAAGAGAATTGCTTGAACCTGGGAGGCAGGGGTTGCAGTGAGCCAAGGTCATGCCACTGCACTCCAGCCTGGGTGACAGAGCAAGACTCCATCTCCAAAAAATAATAATAATTAAAATTTAAAAGAGTGTATTTGGATTGCCCCAGGGCCCACTGTGTTTCTTTCCTCACAGATGACTCAGGCTAGTTTTGAGAATCTATTTCTTGAAACTACCTGTGAGATTGATGTCTTGCCCTTTCCAAATATAATGAAATGTTATCGACACTCCAGAAACACACCTGCTCTGGCACTTGAGTCGCTAATGAGTATCTGAGGCTAGCATTTGCATGGGTTGAAGGTGCCAGGGATGCCTTTCTCTGAATACCTTTGTTTTTTTAAGAATCTGTTCACAGGTAAGGGGGAAAAATGTTCAACCGCGAGCCATTAGCACGTTATTGAATTCTTGTTTCCAGTCGACAGCTGTGTTGTGCTTTGTCTAATAGGGTACATTTACTGATGCCTCAATGCTGTTCTTTTGATTTCCATGAATTTGACACACTCAGCACTCAAGTGTGTATGGCTGCGTGTTTCTTGTATTCATTATGTGTTTCCTACTTCCAAGTCATAAAAGCCTCACTAGATATCCAGGGGCCTGGAGTAATAAACACTTCATTATAAATGCTTTCCTTGTTTCTGCAAATTCACCGAATTAAAATCCTCCATTTATTGAAACATGCTTGAACCTTCCACGGAGGTTTTTGACAATCACTGGATTTGTTTGGCAGGAAAAAAGGAATGTTGGAGGGACTGTGCGTATCCAAGAAATGTAAAAAGACATATTTACACAGGATGGAAATTAATACCATGAACTAAAACACATGAACAGTAACACACACACACACACACACACACACACACACACAAATGGTACATATTATTTTCTTTAGCCTTCTATTGCCATTATGTGTTACCATAAGAAACAATTTCATTTCATTTGTCTCCAGTCAAGCTTATCATTCCATTATGTTCTATTCTAGTTCAGGTCTCTTTTTTTATCCTTTCAATGATAGTTCAAATAAACTGCCTTTTTCCCCCACTTCTATTACATGATAGTCAAACCTAAAAGGATATTTATTTATCTTGTATCTCACACCTTTATTTATTTTTGTTTAAAAACTGAATCAATATTTATTTTTAAAAATTTTTGTGGGTACGTAGTAGGTGTATATATTTAGTGGGTACATGAGATATTTTCATCAGGTATGCAATGTGAAATAAGCACAATGTGAGGAATGGGATATCATCCCCTCCAGCATTTATCCTTTATGTTACAATCCAACTATACGCTACGTTATTTTTAAATGTACAACTAAAAAATTGAATCAGGCTGGGTGAGGTGGCTCACATCTATAATCTCAGCACTTCGGGAGGCCGAGGCAGGTGAATTGCTTGAGGCCAGAAGTTCAAGACCAGCCTGGACAACATGGCAAAACCTTGTCTGTTCTAAAAATACAAAAATTAACCAGGCGTGGTGGTGCACACCTGTGGTCCCAGCTACTCGGGAGGCTGAGGCACAAGAATCGCTTAAACCTAAGAGGCGGAGGTTGCAATGAGTTGAGATTGCACCACTGTCCTTCAGCCTGGGGGACAGAGCAAGACTCTGTCTCAAAAAAAAAGAATATTTAGGATATGTCATCAGAGAAGAGGGAGTGTTAAGTTCTCTTTACTTAGAAGGGACTTGCTGCCTAGAAAAGTGTTCTAGGTTTCCAACGTGTATGACCTCCAGGCACCAGTGAGACACACCCTCCCACAGAAGAAAAATAGATGCTGTTTTAGTTACAGATAAATGGAGAGAAAAACTTCAAGGTAATTAACCTAGAGGTTTATTTGTAACACTGCTGTGTGACTGCCAAGTATTTGTCATTAGTTTGTACACACACCCAGCCCTACTCTCAAATAAGACAAGGAGATGAATATACTGCAAGTGCACGTGCAGCCTGGGAAGGGCTGGAGGTGTGCGGGCACTACAGGACCTACAGGCAGCTGTAATTGTCATCACCTATGGACAGAGGGATTGAGAAACTCTGTAATCACCAAGATTCCCGGAATTGGTAACAACCCTGTCTTCCAGGGAGTTGTCATCAAAGATTCTATTATTTCAATCTCCTTCTTTTACCTTTTAGGTGGTCCGAGACATTCTGCTGATTGGACATAGACAGGCTTTTGCATGGGTTGATGAGTGGTATGGTAAGTCAATTTCTCCAAAGTAACTTGTAGAACAACTTCATGTTGACTTGGGCTTTCTGTCCATGTGGCTTCAACAGCTACCTAGAAGGGCAACAACAAAGGCAAGGCCACTGCTTCCTGTGTTGGAAATAGCACTGTCTGCCCGGCATAATGAAGCTGTAATTATAGAAGCTTGGTCTAAAATAACCACAGAATTATTGACTAAGTAGGAACCTCAGGATGTTTGATGCTTATATAGTTGATACGCATGGCTCCATCATTCTCTGTTAGATAGGTTTCAAACCCATCCTAATTTATCCCTAACTTCAAGATCAAAGCTCTCTGAAGCATCCTGTCAAGTAAAAGCATTCCTTTGATTCAGAGAACACTTGAAACCATCCCTCACCTAATATATACAGGTTCTGCAAGAATTCGAGGGCAGACAGAGGCATAGGTGCCCCGTTCATCCTAATTGAAACTATTGTTCTGGCTTTTTTTTTTTTTTTTGAGATTGAGTTTCACTCTTCTTGCCCAGGCTGGAGTGCAATGGTGTGATCTTGGCTCCCTGCGACCTCCACCTCCTAGGTCCAAGTGATTCTCCTGCCTCAGCCTCCCAAGTAGCTAGGAATAAATGAATGGCCACCACACCTGGCTAATTTTGTATTTTTAGTAGACAGGGGGTCTCTCCACGTTGGTCAGGCTGGTCTTAAACTCCCAACCTCAGGTGATCCTCCCACCTCAGCCTCCCAACGTGCTGGGATTACCGGCGTGAGCCACCGCACTCGGCCTGTTCTGGCTTTTTTGTTCATGATCCGGGAAGAGTTAAAACAAGTTCTACACATTTCCAGCAAATGAAAACAAGGTTAGCTTCACTCATGATGGATGGACCATTCTTCCCACGTCCTCAGCAGTCTTGTCTTGTCCACATGAATTTTCTGCACTCCCAGAATCAGTCATCAGATGGCTGCCGTCCTTGGCTATAAATAGAAAGGAACACGCCCCACTGGTGACTTAGGTTAGATCTGATTTTCAGGTCGATTGTCTAATGAAATGCCCTCCTTCTTGGCCTTTTCCTAAGTCACATTAAATTTGCTCTGAGTATAACCTAGATTGCATTTTGGTCCTTTTCTGTCATTGTTCCACCAACTCCCTCCGTTTCCTCAGCAGAACGTACAAAAGTAAAAGGACACGTTGGATGGAAGAGGCAAGACAGTGATTATGATTAATATCGTTAGCTATTTCTGAGCCACATTTAAAAGGCGTGGTTCTATAAACTACGGGCTTTTTCTTTTTTTGTTGTTTGTTTCCTTTTTTTGTTTTGTTTTATTTTGTTTCCTTTTACAGTTTTCTCAGATCTGCACCTCTGAAGAGCAAATGCACCTTCCCGGGTTTGTCCAAATGCAGATCATTTACGCTCCCTTATCACACACCTACAGAATGCTGCGCTCATGCCTCAAAAGCCCTGGCTTGCCACATCGTCATGAAGCCTCCCAGAGACCTGTCTATTTCTAGTTGTCTTTTGTGAGGCAGGCAGGAGAGTCTCCTGTGATTACTTCCTCTGAGCCTTAAATAAATCTTTCTGGTTGTTTTTTTTTTCTGGGGAGCTTTTCTTCGATTCTCAGAGGAAGCACAGACCCCAAAAAAGGATAAGAACTTCTGGTCTTTCCCAGCTTGTGCTCCTCAGAGCTCATGGTTTCCTTGCTACCAACACCAAGGGAATATCAAAAGGATATTTAAAGACTTATAGGTGTGGCTGGGCACCGTGGCTCACTCCTGTAATCCCAGCACTTTGGGAGGCTGAGTTGGGTGAAATCACCTGAGGACAGCGGTTCAAGACAAGCCTGGCCAACATGGTAAAACCCCATCTCTACTAAAAATATAAAAAAATTAGCTGGTGTGGTGGCACATGCCTGTAATCCCAGCTACTCGGGAAGCTAAGGCAGGGGAATAGCTTGAACCCAGGAGGTGGAGGTTGCAGTGAGCCAAGATCGCACCATTGCACTTCAGCTTGGGCAACAAGAGCAAAACTACCTCTCAAAAAAAAAAAGAAAAAAAAAAAGTCCAGGTGCAATGGCTGAAGCCTGTAACCCCAGCACTTTGGGAGGCCGAGGCGGGTGGATCACGAGGTCAAGAGATCGAGACCATCCTGGTCAACATAGTGAAACCCTGTCTCTACTAAAAATACAAAAAATTAGCTGGGCATGGTGGCGCGTGCCTGTAATCCCAGCTACTCAGGAGGCTGAGGCAGGAGAATTGCCTGAACCCGGGAGGCAGAGGTTGCGGTGAGCCGAGATCGCGCCATTGCACTTCAGCCTGGGTAATAAGAGCGAAACACCATCTCAAAAGAAAAAAATGATAAAAAAAAAAAAAGAATCATAGGTGCAAACTGATTAGAAGTTTAGCAAAAGGAGAGGCACCTGAAGGGCCACAAATCTGCTAGTTTGAAAACCAACAGACAGGGCACTCTCTGTTGCCAGAATGCCAAAGAAGACTGAAGACTTTTCAGCTAAAAGAATAGCCAGGCTCTGATCAAGAAGACAGAGCAGTAAAGAGGCTTTGATTAGAGAAAGGATATGGGAAGAAAAGCCAGTATGGGTGGGTATCTAGTAAATGAAAGGCCAGGAAGGGGATGGGGCCGGACTTTTCCATGTCAGCTGAGTCTAGGGCAAGGAAAAGACTTAGGGACTTCTAATAAAAATTGAAAGAAAAAAAATTATTCCAGGCATGGTAGCCTGTAATCCCAGCACTTTGGGAGGCCTAAGATGGAGAATCACTTGAGCCCAGGAATTCGAGACCAGCATGGGCCACATAGCAAGACCTCATCTCTACAAAATAAATAAATAAAATTCACCAGGTGCATGCCTGTAGTCTTAGCTACTCAGGAGACTGAGGTGAAAAGATCACTTGAGCCCAGGAGCTGAAGGCTGCAGTGAGCTATGATCGCACCACTATGCTCTAGCTTGGGTGACCAAGCAAGACCACATCTCTTAAGAAAAAGAGAGAAAGAATTCTCAGATTATAGCTTGAGCCCAAAGCTAGAATAATGTATCAAAGGAGACAGGAGATCTCCACGAGAACATTTATTTACCTAGGATGAGTGAAGTGGAGGCATTTAACAACTAAGGAGTCTATTGTGCAAAAAGCCTTTTCCTTATCTGAGCACAGAACAGTGTGGGCTTAGTGAATGTGGATCCTTGGGAAGCCTTGCACTCCCCATAGCAGGTCTCCCCCTGCATACACTGACACAACCCCAACCAAAACAAGCCGCCTTCTCACTCAGCAAGGGTCTGAGAACTACAGCATTAATTTCATGTAAGCTACTGCAAGCATCAGCACCCACAGCTGAGCTGCTGACCAGGTGAACAGTGGCTCTTTCATCACACAGATGCAGACACTGAGTGAATCAAATGAATGGAAATGGCTCCCGCCCACAGAGTGCCTTCTCCGTCCTGTATTCAAAGTAATTCTGGGAACTGTGGGCCATGTATGCCACTGGTACCCAGGCTAAGCATCCACCAGCATTACCTTTCCACTCCATTTTGGGGTACCTGAAGTGGCTTATTTTCATTTGATCTGGACAGGCTCAGTGAGGCTCTTATTAGTAAACATGGAAAAGGTCCAAAATAAATCCTTGCCTATAGCTATAGCTTCTAGCACTGGTCCTCAAAGTAAGGTCCCTGGACCGGCACCATCGCCATCCTTTGGGTGCTTGTTAGAAAGGCATATTCTCAGGTCCCACCCCAAACCTACTGACTCAGAAACTCTGAGTGTCTAGCCCGGCAATTGTTTCAGCAAACCCTCCAGACGGTTGTGTTGCTGGCTCAAGTTTCAAAACCACTGGCTTACAGCATGGGCTGTAAACCAGACTAGGACATCGGGCTGTAAGGACAGCTTAATTCATTCAATCCAAATAAGTTAACTAGTGAATCATAGCTATCTACAGGATCAACCACACTCCCATCTGGGCAACAGAGCAAGTCTTTGTCCCTAAAAAAAAAAAAAAACTAAATAAAAAGATGATTGCAGGAACCCAAATTCTTACAACTCTGATTCCTTGTGAGAATTAGAAAAAAGCTCCCCTTTAGACAGATGAATTAGAAAAAGATGCCCCTTCTGAGCAGACTCAGCAGGTGCTCTGGACTTGGGGCTGAATTTTAGCCCCACTGGCCTCCTCTGCTCTGTGTTCATACAGTGCACAAACTGTACACGCTGACGCATGGGCAGCCCTAGATGTCTTTCTCTCTAATTAGACTCACCACCTCCAGTGCTTAATTAAGAGTCAAGAAAAAAAGGACATTGTTGAGGGTAGTGATCATTTGTCAGCCAAGGATTAATTTTGTATCTCTTCTGAGTTTCAGCATTTGGCTGTCATGAAACTGTTTTCCTAAGGAGATTTTATTCTGCTCATGTTCATTGTAAAGTGTAACCATTTCCATGTTGGAGGAGTTGAACGTGTGTTTCAAAGCCCTGATTGGTCTTTATCCACGAGCCCTGGGTCTCTCTGCATGACTAGAACACTAATCAGAGAAATAACAACAACATTATTTCAGGAGATGGGATGAGAGGGAAGGTGGATAAAAATAGGCAGCCCAGCCTCACAGAGGCATGGTTTTGCTTTACAAATCTGACAGTGTTTTGAGAAAGGAACACAGAACATTGCCAGAGGGAGCCTGTGATTGAGTTGAACCTCACGAATGTCTTTGAAAACCTGACTCTAACCAAAAAGTATGAGGGAGGGGGAGTTCTGGCTGGCGTAGATGACACTGCCTCGTGAAAGTGACTTAGAAATCAGCCTGGAGTCCCTAGAGCAGGTCTAATAATGAGTGAAGCAAGCTTAAGGTGGAGAAATAAGCCTGCTAGGGGTTGCATTCGCTGGTTGAGTTCACCAAGCCAGCATTTTCCAGTGCAACGTTTTATGTGTATGTGTGCTTATATTCATTTAGCTGGGGAGAGAATCTCTAACTTTCCATCAGATTTTCAGAGGAACCTGTGAACCCTTCCCCTGCCTACTCCCTGCTCCCAGTTAAAAACGACAGGAAAAAAAAAATCACAACTATAAGGCCAGGCATGGTGGCTCATGCCTGTAATCCCACCACTTTGGGAGGCCAACGCAGGCAGATCACCTGAGGTCAGGAATTGAAGACCAGCCTGGCCAACATAGTCAAACTCCGTCTCTACTGAAAATTCAAAAATTAGCCAGACATGATGGTAGACACCTGTAGCTCCAGCTACTCAGGAGGCTGAGGCAGGAGAATCACTTGAACCCAGAAGGCAGAGTTTGCAGTGAGCTGAGATCGCGCCGTTGCACTCCAGCCTGGGTGACAAGAGTGAGACTGCATCTCCAAAAAAAAAAAAAAATCACAACCATAGATTACAGTTCTAAACCTTACTGGTCTCAATTACGTAGAAAAGGTATACACCGTGCCTTGAGGATTGGCTACTTTCACTGCAAAAAAATGGAGTCTCCTTAAGCTTTTTGAAAGAAGCATGTATTGAATTTATAATCATTTTGAAAGGTTTAAAAAATGGCTTTTTTCAAAGAATGGCCACCATTTCGCTGGAGCCAAATGAGTGTCCATTCTTATTTACGATTTCTGGAGCCTCCCTGCCTCAACGACTTGTTCAAGACTTTGATTTTGACTTAAAACAAAAGCGACTTCTGTTTTGGTGAAGGAACCTGAAAGTGAAGGGAAATGTTTGTAGAGGGAAATAAAGTATGATGTGCCATTGCACAGGTCATTGAGTTAGAACATAAGACTCCCCTTTTTAAAATTTTTGCTGCTGCAACTGTGTGGTACAATGAAGGAAAATTCACACTTGTAGATGCTTTGTTCAGGGGCATTCGTAGTTTTCACGTATGTTCAACTGACATCCATCCTAAAGGCCTTTCAGACATATAATCTTGCCTCCACTTCCTGTGAAATCAACCTCCTTTCTTTAAAAATACAACGATCAAAAGAAAATTGCCACCATAAACGAAGCTAAAAGACTAGGGGAAAACATTTGCAGCATATGTAGTCAACAGGAATACAATCTATCATATATAAAGAGGTCCTATACATTGAAAAATTGACCAGGTATGGTAGCTCACACCTGTAATCTCAGCACTTTGGGAGGCCAAGGTAGGAGGATCACTCAAGCCCAGGAGTTTGAGACCAGCCCTGGCAACATAAGAAGACTCTTATCTCAAAAAAAAAATTGTTTTAATTCACTGGACATGATGGTGTGCCTGTAGTCCCAGCTGCTTGGGAGGCTGAGGTGGAAGGATCACTTGAGTCTGGGATATCAAGGCTACAGTGACTCATGGCCACACCACTGCACTCCAGCCTAGGTGACAGAGTGAAAGCCTGTCTCAAAAAAAAAAAGAAAAGAAAAAAGAAAAAAAAAATCCAATAACTCAACAGGAAAATGGTAAAGGACATGAATAAGTAAATCATAGAAGAAGAAATGCAAACGGCCAGTAAACTTACTACTAATCACAAGAAATGTAATGAGAAAAAGCTAGGACGTTTGCCTGTCTGATAACAAAAACGTAAGAGTGATTGTATCCAGTTTTCATTATAAAATGATAATCTGATTTAATAAAATATACCATAGAAATGATAAGCACAAACAACCTGTAACCCAGCCAATCTACTTCCAGAATTTTATTCTGGAATATACTTGAGGCCAGGGACAGTGGTTCACATTGATAATCCCAGCACTTTGGGAGGCCAAGGTGGGCAGATCACTTGAGGCCAGGAATTTGAGACCAGCCTGGCCAAAATGGAGAAACCCCGTCTCTACTAAAAATACCAAAAAGTTAGCTGGGCGCGGAGGCACGTGCCTGTAATCCCAGCTACTCAGGAGGGTGAGGCAGGAGAATCACTTGAATCCGGAGGCAGAGGTTGCAGTGAGCTGAGATGGCGCCACTGCACTCCAGCCTGGGAAACAGAATGAGACTCTGTCTCAAAAAAGAAAAAAAGAGGCCTGGCACTGTGGCTCACACCTGTAATCCTAGCACTTTGGGAGGCTGAGGCAGGTGGATCACCTGAGGTCAGGAGTTCAAGACCAGCCTGGCCAACATGGTGCAACTGTCTCTATTAAAAATATAAAAATTAGCCAGGCATGGTGGTAGGCACCTGTAATTCCAGCTACTTGGGAGGCTGGGGCAGGAGAATCGCTTGAACCCTGGAGGCAGAGGTTGCAGTGAGCCAAGATCACACCATTGCACTCCAGCCTGGGCTACAAGAGTGAAACTCTGTCGCAGAAAGAAAAGAAAAAGAAATATAAATGTGCTCATGAATACATGTACAACATGTACAAAGCTATTCTGTGTGGTGGTGTTTGTAAAAGCTAAAAATTAGTCTCAGTGTAAATGTTTACTAACAGGATTATCAATTAGCAAATCCCCGGAGAACAGAGCCTCTTTGCCAAAGTGGAGCTGATGGTTGAGAAGGAGATTTTGGCCTCAGCCCAGTCACCGGCAGAGGAGAACGTTCTACTCAGGCCCCGCTCTGTATGACCTCACATCCTGAGATAGGAGTCTGAGATCTGTTCTCACCTCACCTGAAAGAGAGCAAGAAAGAGGCCGGGCGCGGTGGCTCAAGCCTGTAATCCCAGCACTTTGAGAGGCCGAGGCGGGTGGATCACGAGGTCAAGAGATCGAGACCATCCTGGTCAACATGGTGAAACCCCGTCTCTACTAAAAATACAAAAAATTAGCTGGGCATGGTGGCGCGTGCCTATAATCCCAGCTACTCAGGAGGCTGAGGCAGGAGAATTGCTTGAACCCAGGAGGCGGAGGTTGCGGTGAGCCGAGATCGTGCCATTGCACTCCAGCCTGGGTAACAAGAGCGAAACTCCATCTCAAAAAAAAAAAAAAAAAAGAGCAAGAAAGAGAAGGAAAGAAATGGCCTCTCCAGAGGGCAAGGAAAGGAAATGTCCCACTGAAATACAATGAGCAGGGCATTTGTAGCCCCAGAAATACTTCCCAGGGCTGTTTAACCTCTGATAGCAAAGTCTCAAAGATATTAGGATGTACTTTCTTTATCAGAAGAAATACTTTACCAGTTCCAATATTCTCTTAAATTAGGCAATTATCCCTGTATTGCTGGCTTAAGGAGTCTTTATGTAGGAAACCTTATTTAGGAAGAGTAAATTATGACCTTTCACAATCTATAAGTTAAGGGCTGATTGTTTACCAATGTATTTGCAGAGTAATTGACATAGGCTTTCTTTAATTAAGAGTTTGATACATATAAGCATTTGTTTGCTGGAAGCAAAGAAGTCTGAACCTAAATTGTTAGAAGTCACTCTGATCATTGAAAATCAGTCAGTAATGAACATGAATCATCATTACTGTATATACCCTGTCATTGGACACATGTAATTGAATTTCCTAAAACATTGATTTCTATATAGATTTTGAGGTCACATATGTTGCAAAAGCTGGACAGTGAGTGCATTTCACCATCTTACCTGAACAGGAGCATTTTCACTTGATTAGGATTTCCATACATTACTGAGAAATACTGAAAATATTTACGTCATGTTCATACACATTTATAGTCTGTAAGGATATTTCAGGATTTAGACAAACATATTTTGCTTCAGCACAGCCGGGACTGAATTATCACCATCTTTTAGAGAGCAACTCTCCTAGGAATGTTCATTCCTATGTGGCCAAATTGGGAGATTTTCTTTTATAGAATTTTCTGAAATTTAGTTTTTTAACTTTTTGCTTAAAAAAATAATAAGGGAGGGCTGGGCACGTTGGAGGCTCACACCTGTAACCCCAGCACTTTGGGAGGCCAAGACAGGCAGATCACTTGAGGTCAGGAGTTCAAGACCAGCCTGAACAACATGGTGACACCCCATCTCTACTGAAAACACATAAATTAGCCAGGCATGGTGACGCACACCAGTAATCCCAGCTACTCGGGAGGCTGCAGCAGGAGAATCCCTTGAACCCAGGAGGCGGAGGTTGCAGTGAGCTGAGATTGTACCAGTGTACTCCAGCCTGGGCTACAGAGTGACACTCTGTCTTAAGAAAAAAACAACAATAGGGGATTATGTTTCAGAAATTCTGGAAAGTGTACCTTTTCCTTAACAATTCCAAATTGATGGTATCCATTTCATAATCAACCAAAGTAATCGTTTTTTTGTTTGTTTGTTTTTGAGACAGTCTTGCTCTGTCACTCAAGCTAGAGTGCAGTGGCATGATCTTAGCTCACTGTAGCTTCCGCCTCCTGGGTTCAAGCAATTCTCGTGCCTCAGCCTCCCCAGCAGCCAGGGTTACAGAGGCAC